TTGCATCTTTTGCTTCAAGTCCCGCCAGAGCGACAGAGAGTAAGAGACAGAAAGAGAGGGGGAGAGTGAGAGCGTGAGTTGGGGTACATACATGTGACAGGCTAGCTAAAATCTCACATGATAAATAGTCAATAAATACTTTTATATCTATATAAGCACTAGATGTACATATGTACATACATACATGTGTGTCAGTCGCTGCAAATGAGTCGTAAAATTTTTTCTATTCCTGTTTGATTTAATTGATTTCACTTGTCATTTAACCTTTTGACCAAATACTAAACAAAAGAGTTCATAATTAACGCGATTATTGCGGCCATAGATATCGTATGCCAACTAGATAGCTAATAGTTATAAGAATAGTACATCCATCAATAGAAAATGTTATTTATATAGAATCATGCAAGAATCAATCAATTATTAACAAAAGAATAATGAACATTAATTGCAATTCGAATGTCATGAAATAAATGAGGCCAATATTCACCAAGAATTACTAAATTTATTTAATATGGACTTCAGAGTTTGACTAGAGTTCTATATAAATAAATACACTTATGCATGTATATACGCATGTATACATATTTTCATATACACTATGCCAGTGCTCAACTTTTCTAATCAATATTGGCAAAGTTTATCGATAATGAAATGCGATGCATTAATGTTATTGAAATAATAAAACTAATATCTGCCACAACAGCTGCTGATGAAATATTGTCCACAAAACAATCTGCTTCAAAGCGGAAGCAATATTCAAACTGAAGACACACCCACACACACACACACACAGAGACGCATACATCTTACATAAATGTGAGTGCGTTCGAGCAAAATTTCAATATGTGGAAATTACATTATGATATGATGACACCGATTTATCTAAGTGAACAGCCGGCAGAAGGGCGGATATGAAACAACATTTGGCTACGATTTTTAATACAATTGCGGTTTGCTGCAAATTTACTTTTGGCAAAATATTTAAAAATAAATATACGAAATGTGTAAACAGGTCATAATATATACTTTGAAATAGCTAAATAATTTTAAATAAGTCTAGAAGGAGTTCTTAAACAAATATAATAAATTGAAATAAATGAAAATATTCATATCTATTTTACTTATAATTATTTATTTAGATAAAAATCATAATAAATTTAAATTTTAATATTTGTGCAGTTAAATATTTTGGATATATAGTCAACAATTTTATTCAATATTATTAAATAATGTAAATATTTTTAAAGCGATTAAAAGGACATAGAATTAAATTATAAATAAGTTTAAAATATTAAGAAATAATTATTTGTTTAATTTAAATTTTAATTTAGTTTAATTTATTTTATAATAGATGATAGAATTTAGTTAACTTAAATTGGAAAATAAATTATCAAACATTAATTTGAATCATTAATCATTTAATAAATGTTGTAGAAAGTCAAAATCAACCTCAAATGATTGATAAGAAGCTTCCGATGTCGTCGGAGAACTCGTACTGGAAGCCCATTCAAGTTGTTGGGCGCCAATCGGAGCAGCATTTAAATGATCGAAATTTTGAAAGGATTCAAGTGATTCAAAGGAATCATATGAGGCGGTGGATGAACAGGCAGATGTAGTCATCGAGCTAGCCGAATTCCAAGAAGATTGCTGATCTATCGTCGTAGTACTTATGAACTGATCGATAGGTTGACTATATTGTGTTTCTTTCAAATCTGCACCTCCTTGCCATAAGTCTGCGCTGAGCCAATCATTTTGCCACATGCCCAGATCAGTCAGACCAGGAGTTTGTAGGCGATCAGGAAACTGGTCTACATTGAAATCGAATTGTTGCTCCATGGGGGTGTAGGTGTTTGGCTGCTCGGGCAGTTGAAATGTCTCAGGATGATTACCCCCACTCACATATTGCAATAGACGTTCGACAATCAGTTCATGCTCACTGAGTGGCGGCTCTAGAGGATCAGGGGATTGAATTGGAGCCGAATTTAGGAACACTTTGGAGCTCAGCTGTCTGTTGGCTAGCTTCTTGCTCTTCATGCGACGATTCTGGAACCAAATCTTCACTTGTCTTTCGGTAAGCTGCAGACGTTGAGCAATGCCGATGCGACGCGGTCTGCCCAGATATTTGTTCTCATTGAACTCGCGCTCCAGTTCGAGCAGTTGGTGACTTGTGAAGGCGGTGCGAGACCGCTTGCACTTGGAGGCGATTGGAGGACAATGGAACTCAGACGATTGAGGCAAGTTTATCTGGGAGTAGAGAAAGAGAAGTATATATTATAGCATATATTATTATAATTCCAGAAAAGGCCAAACTTACCAAGTCCTCGATCATCATATACGATTCACTTGTGTTGCAATTGTTGTACATTTCGCTGAGAGAGCTGATCTGAGCTTCTGTTCTGTGACACATTTGTTTTTTAACTAGTTGTCATTCCGTGTTGTCGCTTTACTTTTATACTCTACAGGTAAATCCCGCTGCAAATCGGAGAACTCTTCCCGGCTGCTACCTGTGAGCACACGGCACGGCGTCACGACTCTGCCCAGCCGGCTGTTGTTATATGTCGCGTCCAGATTCTGTCTCCGCAAGGTCCTCGACACATTTGGTAAGTGGCGTGAGTCCTGATTGCGAAACGACTGCCGACGACGTCGTATGAGTCTAATTATAATGCATAATTCAATTGACTCCTAAGAGACATTAGCAAGCCAATCGAAAGTCAGACATGTAAAAACAAGTAAGAAAGCTCTAGTCGAGACTGCTCGACTACGAGATCCCCTGA